TCCCTTCCTTGCTCGCAGCATTGTCCGGGCCATGCCTACACCTTGCTGCACCCAGCCAGGCCAAGTGCACCCGCCTCCTTCGCGCTCTCCTTCCTTCTCCCTGTTTGCCGTCTTCCAGCACTCACCATCTGCACGGCGTCCTTGGCATTTAGATTCTGCACTAGATCATCAGGCAAGCGAGGTAGCTCATGGCAGGCAGCTCGCTCAGTGCTTGGCACAAAGCAGGTGCTCGGTAATTAGGTCCTAGATGATGGGTTTGTTTATTCATTTATCTAATGGGCCTAAATGGGGTGTCTGAGCTGTATACAAATGTGCCTATCTGATCACGTCTGTTTCATGTGCTGCCGTCCCCCTGCCTCAGCAAGGGGCTGTGTGAGCCTGATTGAGCTGCATGTCAGTTCCTGAGTCGTTATAGGATTCTGTCTTTAAACAATGGCCAGAGCAGTGGAGGGGGAAAAAAAAAAACAGCTTCAGTGCCTTGTACACAGGCTGCCCCACCGCCCTGTACTGTGTGTGTGCAGCACTGTTCTTGATATAATTAGCTCCCCCAGGGGGTCAGCGCCCTGAAATGTGGTTCACGTCCACAGCAGCTCTAACTAGTGATGTGAATCCTCTTATGACTCTGGGTTCTGGCCTTCCAGGCAATAGTTCCCTGTTATAGCGGCAATAATCATCAACTCCCGTCTTTGGCTCAGGCTTGGGTAGCAGGGTCGTCTGCCCCCAGGCTGCTGGAAGGGCTGAGGCAGTGGCTGTGTGCAGCCAGGACCCCTTACTCCTGCAGAGCCTGGCCTCTCCTGCAGAAAGCACTGCCTGGCCTGTGCAACTGTGGCCAGCGGGGTTTGCTGGGCACCTGCTGGAGTCCAGGAAAAAAAAAGTCAGGATGGTCTAAGGGGTTCCATGGCGGACCTGAGGCCTGGCAGAGATGGTAGAAGGTGCCAGAGCAGAGTGACGAAGAGCCTGGCCTGTGGCTGGCTGGGGCGAGTCTCGGCCCTGTCTCAGGCAAGTCTCTCAGACCCTGCCTGCTGTCGTTGCTGCAGTCCCTGCACTGTCACAGAAGCAGGACACTGCGGTGAAGTGTCCCAGAGCACCTCCCAGGCCGAGTGTCAGCCAACTGTGGCCTGTGGCCTAATCTAGCTCATTACTTGTTTTGTCAGTAAAATTATATTGGAACAGCCACACCCACTCATGGATGAAGATACTTCCAGAAGTTTGTGGAACCTGGAATGAAAAGATAGGTTGATTTTGTTGCAAAAAAAAGTTTGAAATGCATGCATAGTTTTTTTTTCCATGTATGCATTTTCCACAAACTTTTTGAAGATACCTCGCATGCATGAATTTCAAAATGCTGTGTCCCAGAATAAACTTATCTTTTGACTCCATTTCCTGTGAAATTTAAAAAAAAATTATTGAAGGGACCAGCACTGTGGCATAGTAGGTTAAGTCTCTGCAGTGCAGGCATCCCATATGTGTGCTAGTTCATGTCTCAGCTACTCCTCTTATGATCCAGCTCCCTGCTAATGCACCTTGGAGAGCAGTGGAAGATGGCCCAAGTGCTTGGGCCCCTGCAGCCACGTAAGAGACCTGGAAGAAGCTCCTGACTTCTGGCTTTGGATGGGCACAGTTCCAGCTGTTGTGGCCATTTGGGGAGTGAACTTGCTGATAGAAGACTTTCTCTCTCTCTCTCGCTCTCTCTCTCTTTCTTTCTTTCTGCCTCTGCCTGTCAAATAAATAAATAAATCTTTAAAAACATTAATTTGAAAAGCAGAAAGAGAGACTCCCCAAATGCCCACAGTGAAGCCAGGAGCTTGGGACTCAGTCCAGGTCTCTCACGTGGGTGGCGGGAACCCAGCCACTTGAGCCACCACTGGCTCCTGGGGTCTCCACTAGCAGGAACTTGGAGCACAGAGCAGAGCTGGGTTTCAGACCCAGACACTCTGATGTGGGACACTGATGTCCTAACCACTAGACTGAACACCCAGCCCTGTGAGCTGTTCAGTGTTCCCTCATTCATGCTGTGTGTGGCTGTGTAATTCTGCAATAACAGAGATGAGAAATTCTGACAGTGACCGTATTCCCACAAAGGGGAAAACCTTTACTGTCTGGCCCATCACAGAAGATGTTGGCCCACCTCGTCCAAGGTGGGAATTGCTGGAAAGCTGAGAGCCCAGCAGTGCATCAACCTGGAGGAGCAGGGAAGCTTCGGGAAGCAGGCTCCCGGTCCGTATTTTCCAAGCTCCTAGCACGTGCCTGGCACACTCATGGGTACTGCTGGTGCAGAGGCACTGAGACCTGACCTCACCCTCCTGGACTCTGTGGCATAGTGGAGGAACAGGTCAATAGACCAATCACAGAGCAGTAGGCAGTTCTGAGACAGAGGTGGGAGGAAGGTGCTAGGTGACCCCCACACACACACCCCGTGCCCCCTTGTCAGGGTTAGGCAGAGAGAACTGAGACAAGGGGGAGCTCGCGGATGAGGGGACGCTTCCCAGGGAAGTGACATGAAGAGGGAAGACTGTACAGATTGGAGTTGTGAACAGGCCACCATGATGGGAGCACCCAGCTGCTTGCGTGGCCTCAGAGTCCGTGTGGCAGCCAAGGCAGAGGCCCCTCCTTGTGTGCCAGGCCGGGGAGTCTTCGGAGTGGCAGGACTGTGGAAGGCAAGGGATGGGGAGAAGACTCCATTCGGTGCAGATGATCCCACGATGGTGCCAGGAGCCAACAGGGAGCATTCTGCCTGGGAAAATGCAGAAAGGCCAAGGAACTGCCCTTTCTGTGGACAGTTAAGGTCCAGCCCATCCTTCTCAACCCAGCCCAGCCACTGCCTGCTGCAGGCCCACACGCCTTCGCCTAAACCACTGCTGTGGCCCCGGAAATGTCTCCTGGTTCTCACCCCCTCCCCCACAATGCTGTTGCTTTAAACAGTCATACCTTTGCTCACATCAGTTCATGGTTCTCTGCTGTACACAGGACAGAACCCAAAGCCGTAGCATGGTGGGCAGCCTTTCCCGATCTGGCCCTCCTGTTTCTCGTCCTCACCCTCCACTTCCCCCTCACTTCAGCAAGTCCAGGTTAATTAGGAGACCCTGGACAAGTCACGTCATTCCATGTCCCTGTTTACCCCTCTGCCCGAAGGCTTTTCCTTCTCCGTCAGTCAGTTGAACTCTATCAATTCATCTTCCAAACTCAGCAGGGCCCCGTGGCCCCAGGAAGCTTCCTTGACCTTTCTTCTGGCCAATGGCGATCACCCCCTCCCTCCCCTGCGTCCACCCGCAGACCCACTGGTGTGCTCACAGATGGCCTTGTCCAGAGATGCTCCCCACTGTGAGTCCCACCCATGTGCAGAGGAGCCCTGCCCACGCATGAGGACAGAGACACTGCAGTGCGCCTTGGGGTTGGCTCTGCTGGCAGCCTAGCAGCACACTGGTGCTGGATGGAGGAAGCCTACAGAAGGCACCAGTCACAACTAGGGAAGACTTTCCATGGGAATTCTGCAGTCGTTGGGTTGTGAGATAGAACACAGAGGAGCAACGTCAGCATCCCTTTTGGAAGGGTAAGGATGGTCATAAGATTGACACAGCCAAGAGACCCAGATTAGACATGAGGAGTGGGTTCCTCTGTGTGTTGTCTTCGTGAATGGAGCCACCACCCACCCTCCAAATGTTTTAAGCCAGAAACCTGCAAGTCACCCTAGATGTCCCCTCTCCGCAGTCCCCAGGCCCATCCAATCACAAAGCCTGAGATTTCACTCAGACCCAGCCTTGTCTCCACCTGCGTGGATGCCGCTTCATCACTGACCTGCACTACTGCAAACCTAGAGCCCGCCTCACCCACATACCACAGGCCTCACCTGCCATGGCATTCCTGCCTCATTCCTGTTCAGTGTGAGCCAGCAGGCTGATGTCTTCCCAAATACATGTGTCCCCGTCACCCAGGGCTTGAAAAGGCCCTTCTACCACTCCCTCAGCCTAAAACCCAATGCTGTGTGTATATGTGTGTGTTTAGGGTGGGAGAGTGGAACATGATACCTTCAGGACCAAGCTCCAGACAAACTTCCCATGTTCTGGGCTCTCCTGAGTCATCTCCCCGCACTGGAGTCCCAGCCATGTCCCCCAGAGCAAGGCAGCCAGCAGAAATGCTCAGTGTAAAACTGCCATCAACAGACACCGAGCAGCTTGTTCCAGAATGTTCTATCCTTGCCGTAACTCAGGCCCTGTGCACCTGGCTCCTTCCCTCTCCCGGGATTTTTACCTTTGGACTTCAGAATACCCTCAGATGCCCCCTCTGCAAGTGGCCTCCCTGTCACCCCATTCGTCAGGCCAGCCACTGCCTCCTCTTCGCTCCATGGCCCCTGCCAGAGGTAGCATCTGGTGCCTGCTGTCACGATTCTCCGTTTCCCTTTCTGTCTCCCCTTCTCACCAAAGACAGGGACTGTGAGTGCTCACTGTTGAGTCCCACCCTTACCCTGGCATATGGTGCCTGCTCGGTAAATATTTGTGGAAGGCAGCATTCAGGCCGGGAGGAAGTGGGGAATGGGGGACTTGTGGAAGTCTCCTTCGGAGAGCATTCATTTATTCCACAAATAAACAGACAACAGGGATGGAGGACAGCAGGCAGGGAGAAGCTGAGAGAAACTTCTGCAGATCCCTGGAGGCAAGAGAGATGAGACTCCACATGTGGCTTGCAAAATCGCCCCCAAGCCCGCGGGGACTTCTGTGCGATAAAGCGTGAAGGGAGAGTCTGATCAGCTCTTGGCCGGCCAGATGTGGGGGGGGGGGGGTGCTGTAAGGCCTCCAGAATGGGCCAGATGGGCCTCAATCATCTTCAGGAATGGTGGGGGCCTCAGAGACCCTGTGGCCAGGAGAGATGTAGCTCAGGTTCAGAAAGGTGGCCCAGAAGTGGCCAGTCTGTGCAGGGTGGAGTCACAGGGACTCTGGGACACAAGGGGAAAGCCGCCACCTTCCTCACAGCCCCGCCCACGCTAACTCTGTGTCCCTCCCTAGGTGATCAAGCTGGCCTTTGAGGAGTTTGACTTGGAGAGGGGCTATGACACCCTGACAGTTGGGGACGGAGGGCAGGACGGGGACCAGAAGACGGTTCTCTACATGTAAGTGAAGCGCTGTGTGGGGGCTGTGGGTGGGGCTGCCTGGGGACCTTGGCTGGGGGAGGGGGCTGGGCTTACTGAGCCCATCTGGGTCACAAGACCACATGTGGCAAGGACAGCATCCCACAGTGTCCCTACTTTCAGCAGCAGCCCTCCCTGCCTCTCTCAGTGCCAACCCAGGGGGACAGAGCACACACTCAGGGTCTCCCTGGGAAGTCACCCGAAGCATGTTAAGAATGAGCGATCTCCCTGGGGACAGGGGGGATGGCAGTGCTCTGTGGGAGCCTGGTGCACCCCCTTCACTGCTTGCTTCTGTGCAGAGCCAGCTTCTGCCCCTGGCAGTGTCTATCCCAGGCTCTGGCAGTTTGTCTTTGGACAGTGACCATGAACATGCCTGGCCTGCCTGCCCCCATGCTCAGAACTGCCTGGGAGATGGCTGGTTTTGGAGAATCGGGATCACTTAGATGCAGTGACCACACTTCGTGAACCAGAAAAGGCCAGCTCGATGGTCTAGTCCAGGGAGACGGCGATATCTGACTGGCCTGAGAGTCCAGTACATTGGGTCTTTGCTCTTGGGGCCATTTATCTCCTGCCTTCCCAGCACCAGGAGCCTGGTGTGAAAGCCGGGAAAAGCTGTGTGCCTAACTGTGTCCATCTCCCTTTCCAGGAAGGGGAGGTCCCCTGTGCGGAGCACCTCCTGGGCAGCCAGGCACTGGATGGGATGTTTTGCATTAGTTATCTTGCTTAATCCCCACCACAGTCTCGCGAGAAAGGTGTTCTCCGCCAGGTTTAGCAGGTGGGGAGACTGAGGCCCGGCAGTTGCAGAGATGGTTGGCATCAGAACCAGCGCTGGGTTCATGTCTTTTTATTTCAGTCAAGGACAGTGCCCCATGCCACACCCTATACCACCAGGCTTGCTCCACCCAGTTACCATCTGGCCCTACTACTAGATGTTAAACGGCCAATGGGTGATGGCTGGTTTGTCCAGGGATGGTTCTGTGCTGGGTGTTTCTCACGCCTTCCCCAAACCCACCAGGAAATGATGCTGTCAGAGCAGCTCAGTGACTCTTCTCATCCAGTGACACCTGCTGAGTCAGGTGACATGGCTGGGACATGGCACGGAGTAGTGAGTGCAGGGGGTAGCCTCCCCCTGCCCTTCTGTGGTACAGTTCTCCAGGGGAACAGACCAACAGAAGACAATTGGCAGGGCCACACAGGCAGGCAGGTGGAGACAGATTTGTTACCATTGGCTCTTAGCATTTGGGAAGCTCACAGGTCCCTAGGTCTGCCGGGAGAGTTAGCAGACAAGGCACCCAGGAGGGCCCATGGTGTCCTTCTAGACAAAAGGCCAGCAGGCTTGAAACTCAGGAAAAGCCAGCATTTCAGTTCAAGTCTGAGGTCCCAGTTCAAAGGCAGGCAGGCAGGCATCAAGAATTCTCTTATTCGGGGCAGGCCTTCTGCTAAGGTGAGGGTCACCCATTTGCTTGACTCCTTTAGTGATGTAGATATTATCCTCACCCAAACACGCTCTCGGAACAATGTCGGTCCAAATGTCCGAGCCTGATGAGGGTGACGTGTAGCATCTTCCGTCACGGCCACTCTTCTCCTCTGCCTGATGAGTGCCCATCTCTCGTCTCCCACCCTAGTTTGCCGGCTTGCATGGTGCATCCATGCCAGGTCCCCAAGAGCCCAGGATCCCAGCCTCCACTCCTCTCCATACTCCTCTGTGCTTCTTCAGAGAGAGAGAGAACCTTGGAACAAGAGCTGAAAAGGCCTTGGTGATCAGACAGCGCATTCCCCTCGTGTAATGTGGAGTGTAAAAGGCCAGAGAGGCTCAAGCACTTGCCTGAGTTCCTGCACCAACTGAGTGGCAGAGCCAGGGCTTGGTCCCAGGTCCCCCATCGGTGCTGACTGAGGGAGCCCCCAACCCCGCGCCCACCAAGTGTTGTAGCCCGGGGGCTCTCTCACCACCTCTAGATCTTTTTCAGCCAACATGGGTCTCAGACCTTCAGGAAAACACACAGAACACCTGGGCTCCTTTGTCGTCATGAGTGGGTCAAAGACGAGAAGCAGAGGTCTCCAACTTAGCCCGAGTCAGGGACCAGCACCAGTGAGGCCTCGTCTTTACCCACTGCAGAATGTCAGCACCTCGGGCCCAGGAGCTCTAGAGCCCGGGAGGTCGCTCCCAGCTCCACCCACATGGAGCTCGTGGAGCAGTGGTGACCTCTGCAGCCAATTCAGCAGCCCCCACACTTCGAGACCCTGGGCTGAGCAGAGATGAGGACCATCGGTTCTGTCTCCCTGTGTGCAATCCTCTGCCCCACCTGGGCCTGCGATTGCTCTCAGCGGAAGGGTGCAGCCAGGTTTCTTCCAGAAGCCCCACCTGCACAGTGGGCTCCCGGCTCTGTCACTGCCCCCTTTCTGCCCTTTCTGCCCCTCTGTCTTCTCTGGGTGTTGACGGTGGGGGACGACAACTCTGCCTTGCCCCAGCGTCGTTCAGAGAGATAAAGGCTGGGAATCTGTCCGCGCGCTGTCTGCCTGAGCTCGGTGCTCAGTAGATTGAGTTGCATCAGCATCCTTCTTCAGAAAGAGTGTCCCTCGGTGGTGGCTGCGCTTGAAGCCTTGCTTTTCATCCTGCAGCAGACGGAAATGCCTCATTAAAGGGAGTGAGATGGGATCCGACGGGGGAAGCCTGTGCCTTTCCTGTGAAACCGTTCACACGAGAGATCAGAGGTTGCGAGAATGTGGACACCCCTTGATTAGATCTGGCTGTGGCTGTCCCTGTCCCCTGAGCAAGCAAGGAGTGCAGAGTCTGGGCTGGAAAAGCAAAGCTGAGAGTCCAGCTGTACCCAGGGTCCAGGAGGAAAAGGACACGAGTCTTCCACCCAGCAGGGCGCATGCTGCTGGGCTCCAAGCTCAGGAACACTGTGGGGCCCAGAATCTGCTCCAGAGGGGACCTGACTCCTAGATGGGCCTTCCATGTCACCAGCTGGGTGGTCATTTCCTGTGGGACGCACACCCCTGAAGACCTCTCTCTCCCAACAGCCTGACGGGTACATCGGTCCCAGATCTCATTGTCAGCACTCACCATCAAATGTGGCTCCTCTTCCAGACCGATGGCAGCGGCAGCTCCCTGGGATTCAAGGCTTCTTACGAAGGTAACTGCTTTCGGGGAGCCAGATGACTCCCCCCACCCCTGAGAACCAGAGACTAGGTGTCTGCCTTTGGAGTCAGAAAGCCCTGGGTTTGAATCCTGGTCCTGCCCTCCACCCGCTTCCTCTCCTTAGGCACATTCTTTGACTTCTGCAGCCCTCTTTGCTCTGAGAGCCCTCCTGGGTTATTCTGAGCATTATCTGAGATAAATCACATACGATTCTGGTCTCCCCACCCCAGGCACATTAATCAATTTCATCCCCAATTCATGCCTGGCTCTTGTAGGCTTTAAAAGTCCCTCCAAGCCTTCTTAGCCTTGCTTATTGATGAAATCCTTACCCTGGTACAGTAGTCTGCCAAGCTACCCTATTTGAGTGTCTTAGTGATAAGTAAGTGACTCTGTGCATCAGGCTAGGGACAGACACCCAGCATCATTGGTAGCCTAATGAGCAGGATGCAGACCAAGTTCTTTGTGTGTTACTGGGCACAAGCCCAAAAGGAGTGCCCCGTGTTGGGTCGATGAAACACCACCACCATAACCCTTCCGCATGCTTCCAAAGCTCTGGTTGGCCAGTGACTGCTGCTCCTGCTGCCCAGAACAAGAGAAGGACGGAGAAGCCATTCTGGAAGTGATCATTAGGGCACCTGTTAGGTGCCAGGCTCGAGACCAGCTCCAGGGGAACAGGTTTGGCAGAGCCAGGCCTCACCTCAAGGGGCTTGTGTGCTGCAGGTGGGACAGAGGAGAGAACAAATGGAATGTTGAAAGTAAGGTGGCTACTCGGCTGGTGCAGGGCCGCAGAGAGCGAGGGTGAGCCTTGATTTCTCCAAGGGACAGGATGCTGCTAGGGAGGCAGGATGCACCTGCTGCACAGGGTTCTCCCTGTGCCAGGACACAGGAGGCATGTCAGCCTCCACGAGCTGCTCCAACAAAGTACCACAAACTGGGGGCTTACAGCCTGAGTCTGAAGTCCAGGGTGCAAGAGCCATGAGCCCCGGGGACTCTGGGAAGATGCCTGCCTTGCCTCACAGCTGTCAGGCCTTGGCACTCATCGGCTGGCAGCTGCATGCCTGCAGCCTCCGCCTCTGCCGTCACTCACGTTCCCGGTGCCTCTGCTCCTCCTCGCGTGAGGACACCAGCATTTAGGAGGGAGTGCCCCCTCCTCCGAAACAGCCTCATCTTTTTCGATTGCATCAGTCAAGGGTCTGTTTCCAAACAAGGTCACATGTACAGGTGACAGGTGTTGGAACTGCAGCATTCTTTGGAGGGAGGGGACCCAATTCAGCCCCCACCACAGAGCTTAGTCCGTATTTCATGTGCGGACGTGTCCCCTGGGGCCAAGGTCCCCTGGGGCGGAGATGAGGGTTGCTCTGTTGTATGAGTGGGAAGCCCTGGGAATAGACAAGGCAGAGCAGCAGACACAGGGGCTTGGCGGTGACAGATGCCGGTGCTGTCACTTCCTAGCCCCATGAGAGGTCCTGAAACCTGTTCAAGGCTCTCTTTCTCCATCTGTGAAATGGAGATAAAGATGCAGCCAGGCTCACCATGGTCCCGTGAAGATGGTCAGATTAAAAACTGTGAAAACAAGAAGTGTAGGGCATCGCAAGGTGGCTAGTGAGTGAGCAGTGTGTAAGGGCACAGGAGTGAAATGAATGGGCTCTTCTGGAGTGTGAAATTACACACAAGCAGCCATGGGCAGTGGGAAACGCTCCAGAGGAGAAACCGGAGTCCTTGGTTCAGGTCTGGGCTCTCTGCCCCTCACCACTTTCAGATGGAAATAGATTCGGATGCAAAGTGTCTGAAGTTCCCGCCTCCCCCCTTTCCTAAATGCTGTGACTGTTCCAGCAGAGGATGTCCCCAGAAGGGGGGAGGAGGGATCCCAAGCGATCCGCGTGCCCCTATTCTGTCTGCATGCTGCCCGTGGTTTGCATCTGACACACAGTCGGGCGCCTGGGAGGGGCGGGCGGTGCCCAGCAGCAGGCAGGGCACGAGGATGCTGATGGGGCCAAGCTGTCGGCTGAGTTGGTAGGACAAGGTGAAGTGTGGATAGATAGCAAGTCCTGTTTTAAGATTCAAAAAAAGTAGCTCCCAGGTTTTACCCACCTGGAGCTTAGTCATGCTTTCTTCTGCCCCATCAGGCATCAGAGAGGGGAGCTTAGCTGTGTGGATCTCAACCTGAGATACATACGGGGAGGATTTAGGCCAATCCCTGAGAGAAATGTTTATGACCCTAAGTGTTTGTTGGAGGGGAAAGTGGCCTCTGGAGACTAGAGAGCCGCATGGAGATGTTTGAAGAGTTGTCAGGTGCGAGAGAGGGATCACATCACGTCTGTTTGCTGTGATTTCTTTGGGAAAGGGCCGGGACTTTTGTTGAGCCTGCTTGTGGTAAGAGCTTTAGGTTCCTTGTCGCCTCTGGGTTTTCAAACAGCGGCATGCCGAGACTCAAAATCCCCACGAGCCCCCGAGGGAGGGGAGGGAAGGCCAGCAGGGAGGGCTGTGACCCTGCCCTGCCCCCATTTCTTTTTCTTTCCTTTTACGTGAGTGATCTCATTCAGTGCTCACAACAGTACACAGGCTGCTGTTTCTTTTTATTTTATTTTGTTATGATTTTCTACTTCATGATTATTAATCTCTTATTATGCCTAATGTACAAATTAAACTTTATCATAGATCTTTATATAGAGAAAGATGTAGTATTAGGGTACTTTATTTTTTCAATTATTTATTTTAAGTTTTACTTAAGGCACACAAACATCACGCACTCTGCATGACAGGCTGCTCTTTCGTGGCCAAGGCCTCAGAGCCAGAGGCTGGAGTCACCTGCTGAGGCCACGCAGAGTGGTGTGGAATCCAAGCCCCTGTGTCTCTAGCTTCAAAGCCCATGATTGGCCAGCCTGCACTGGGAGAATGTCTATTCCACGTGAGATCTCTAGCAGCCAAAGCCTTGCCTCAGCCATGTAGCCCATACGCCTATCATGAGCCTGGACTCTGTGACACTAGCGGTTGGGTTTTTGTTCATGAGTCCATGTCACTCAACCGGTACTGATTAACTTCCTGTTATGTGCCCAGTGCTGTTCTGGGTGCCGTGAGTATAATAGCAAGCTAGATGTGGTCTAAGAACATGCACTGTGTGAGTGCTGATCACAGGCTGGGTGTCAGCGTGACTTCTCCTTGGACCCATGGAAAACTGGGAAGGAGAGGCGGGGTGTTTCCATCCGTCGCTGACGAGCAGGGTGACATGAGGTTCTGCACAAAGTGACAGCAGGTCCTATGAAGATGGAATAGACCCTGGAATTGGACCTGGCATGGTCCTAGCCGTGTGACCTTGGAACAGTCATGTGGTTCTCGCTGAGCCTTGGTTTCCCCAGTAATAAAATGGAGAATAATGCCAACCCTATAGCATCATCACGACGGTGAAATGGGACCACAGAAAGCTCCCTGGGCACTGCCTGGCCCAGAGAGCACTCACCCCAGGGGGAAACCAAAGTGCCTCTCCACCTAAACTTTCCAGGCGCTGTCTCCAGGCTGGGCCTGGTTCTGCCGCCATGGGGCCTGTGCTGGCTTTTGTAGGCTCCCGTTTTAGATCCCTGCCTCACAACAGCACCCCTCTAGGGATCTCCCTCCCCAGACTGGCTGAGAAATGAGGTGGCTCACTGTGGCCACAGTGTAGGGGTAGAGGCAGAATCTGGGGCACACACAGCCTAGAGGCCTCCAAAAACATTAGAACTTGGTCAGAGAAGCCAGCCTAGGAGGGTTCATCCAAGTGAACCCACTTCCTCCTGGTCCTTGCCAGCTTTGCCTTCATTTGCTGAGGGATGCAGCCAGTCCGTGTCACACTTCATGGCCAGGAGCCTCATGGGTGCAAGGAGGTGGTGGGCTGAGATCCTGAGCCCACAGTAACTCTGTCCCTGCCCATCCCATTCTCTGGGCTTCTCTCATCTGCACCTCCTGGTCCTCCTCTACCTCTTGGCTGCCCCTTCACAGCTCCTGTGTGGCTCCTTACTGCCCTTCCTCGGGGTCCATCCTCAGCCTTCAGTCCTGTTGTTCTAGAACTTTCTGCAGTTAGTCTCACCTACCCCCCATGACATCAACTTCCACAACTGTTCCCATTTGCATTTCAGTCAACTTGTTACACGTTTAGTTTTAATTTCTATCTTTTGAAAGAGAAAAGTTCATTGATCTTCCATCTACTGGTTCATTCTGTAAGTGCCCAAGTGCCTTCAACAGTTGAGGTTGGGCCAGGGTGAAGCCAGGAGCCCAAAACTCCATCCAGGTCTCCCACATGGGTGGCAGGAACCCAGTACTTGGCACATCACCTGCTGCCCTCGAAGCATGCATATTAGCAGGAAGCTAGAACCAGAAGCAAAGCTGGGATTTGAACCCAGGCACTGTGATATGGGATGTAGGCATCCTGGGTGGCATCCTAACCCCTGTGCCAAATGCCCATGCCTGCCTTTTGCATGTCTTTACAATTCCCCTTCAAGCATCTCAAACCCAGCCCATCTGCATGGGTCTACTCAGGCTGCTGTACAAAATGCCTCCAACGGGGTGCTTTAAGCAACAGAAATTTCTTTTCTCATAGTTCCGGGGGCTGGAAGTCCAGTGTTGGCTAGTTTTTTTGGTGAGGGCTCTCTGCCTGGCTGCAGGCGGCCACTTTCTCACCCTGTCCATGCACGGCCTTTTCTCAGTGTACGTGCACAGAGCATGCCTCCCCGTGAAGAGAGATTATTTTATGAAGCAGTAGTTAGTCCTGTTGGATCAGGCCCCACCTTTATGACCTCATTGAACTTGAATTACTTCCTTAGAGGCCACCTCTCAAAATACACGCACAGCAGGATTAAGGGCCTCTGCCTATGAACTTGAAGAAATACAAAGATTCACTCCACAACACCATCCACAGCCAAGCTCCCTGTCTCCACTCCCACACCCACATCCCTGCACCTGTGCCCCGCTTCTGGACCGTCAGCACAGCCATCCAGCCCATCTCTGGGTCCCCTCCCCACATAC